GAACCACTTCAGGAAATGCCAAAAGTGAGCATACAAAAATCCAAGTGCTAAAGCCTTGAAGCAGGACCCAGTATACAACCTGTAACCCTGGAGCAAGACCAAAACCTCTTATTCTCACATTTGAAGATGACAAACATGACCTAGTTTGGATTTTGATGCATATTTTGCAAAAACAGAAACAAACAATGAGCAACTAGACTGGGTTTGATATCATTGTGGGTAAAGACAAATTAGTTATAAAAGGTAACACTGGATATCTTCCATCAATTAATGCCCCACCAACATCCCCGTCAACCCTCCATGAAATGCTCTGTCAAACAATTTGCATTAAAAGGAAATTGGTATCAAAAGAACTGCCCTAATCTGTGATCAGGCAATATATGCTAAGGCTGTAGAAATAGCATGCAAATGCTCAGAAAATTTATGCCAATAGTTTTATATCTCGGTGCATTTCACACAACTTGCACACTTATGGTAATCATGGGCAAGCACTTTGGAGATGCAGGTATAAGAAATATCTCCATTGAGTCACGTGTGATAGCTGAAGGATCAGTAAGGAGCAAAATCAATGGCAAACAGAACAACAGGGTAGTTCCTTTCCATAAGCTCATGTTTGAAGCCTGCATGTGGTTTATATGTTTTGTATTTGCTGAATAGCTAGAGTTATATGATTCATCAAAATGACCAACAATTGATGCATTGTTGTCCTTGATGGTGACTTGCATGACAATTTGTCTCCAAGTTTTTTCAGAGAAGCCCTGGAAATCAAGAAGCTAATGGACACTAAGGTGCTTTTCCAAACTTACCATAAATGGGTCAGGATCAAAAACTAGTAGTATGTGTGAATCCTGGATGTCCTACATGGACCTCATTGAAATTTTACTTTATTTGGTGTGAACATCACGAGAAGGGAGCTATCTGTGGTATGATTCCTTCAGGCTTTGCCTCTGACCAAATATACTACTTGCCATTGTATCTCCAAAACATGCAGAGTTTAGAGAAGACTCATCCTGAGATCAATGAGTATCTGAATAAGGAGGCTTTTCAGTCCAAATTGTGTCATAAAACCAAATTGGGATTATTCTCATAGATCAAATAATAGAAGAAACAGCAAATAAAGACACAAGGTGGAATGAAGGGGTTTAGTACTCGTCTTGGAGGTGTGTCCTAGTACTACATAACTGCCAACTATAAGAGAACATACATTTGTCAGCTATGAGATATGGTAAATAACACAAAAGATCACCTTGCTCATCCCGATTTAAGACAAAGCAGAATCACAAGAGATGAGAAGGATGTAAAAGCCATTTTAGATATGTATGAAACTAACTGGAGGGACCCATTTGCCCAAGAAGAAAGTTATTTATGTAGTGTATCCACAGGTGCAGTTCCTTCACCAGGTATTATGTCAGACTGATTGAATGCTCAAAGAGAAGAAGCAAAAGCCTACTAAAAGTTCTTGAGAGACTGTCTGAATCTGGAACCAAAAGAATTCTTTGGATGACTACCCAGGCTAAGTCTCAAAACATATACTACCATGAATAAGAAAGCAGTGTCAGTCAAGAGAAGGGATGATGAATGTGGATCAAAATTTGTTTGCGAAAATGGCCATATTTGCTCTATCTCAACAACTTGACATGAAACATGTTATGAAGTATGAGCTGGAACCCTTTACCTGGTCACTTGATACAAGTGATGGCATGTTCAGGAAAACTAATAAGGCTTCATTAGCTACTGAGTTTGAAAAGTTAGCATTACTGGTAGAGGACATCCTTGAATCTGTGGTGTGTGTCATTGATAGAATGGGCCTAGTTAAGAAAACTATGAAACCTTCTCTGATCTGGCCAATTATTTGTTACCAAAAAGGATGAATAAAGGAAATTAAGTGAATGGATGTGGTCTTGATATGTACAAAGATAATTTAAGTAAGAATGTGGAGAGGGTAGAAAAGAGAGATGCATCCAATTCCATTTCAGTCAAATTCTATCAGGACACAAGATTCAACAGTGGCATAAGTTTCTTAAAGGATCAAAGAATATGTCAAATCTTATTAGCTTCCTGTGTAACAAATGGAAGAAGTTGAAATACAGAAAGAAACTGAGAGACAATACCCTGTTTTTAGCATGTGATGAAGAATGCTGGAAGATAACTGAGACCACACCATAAGATGTACCAGATTTGAGATGCAACCAAGAGGAGGCTGATGCACATCTCTTACTTCATGCAAGCCCTACATCTACCAGTGGAAGCTCTGATAGTATGCGAGGATACAGTTGTTATAGTTTTGAACATTACATCATGCAGCCACTTGCAGATACCATTATTCCAAAGCATACCTCCTCCCACATTACAGCTATTCCTTGACTGCTAGTGTTTCCTTCCTTTCCCATCTAAGCATTGATCTGAATTTTTCAAGCTAGCTTCAGTGTTTTATTCCCCACTTAATTGTTCTTGGCGATATCTGTCACGTGACACTCTCCACATACATCAATGCACCCTCTATCCTGGTACTGTATATAAGCACCTCATTCAAATAATAATATCACTTTTTCTTGATAAAGCATTCACTAATTGGATTCTCTGTACTACGACCCTTGGAGATACTTTAAGCAGTATTTTTGTTACCTTGTTTATTTTCATAAAACAAACATTGTCTGGCAAGCTCATATATGACATGAATTCCTTGTTTATTATTTCTGACACAGAGGCAAAACAAGGTCTCTCCTATCCCACCTCTGATATCTAGCATCAGTCAACAATTGGGGATGGGGGTGGAAACATATATTTGGTCCAGTGGTGCTTCCCCAGAGAACTCTGAGGCTGAATTTGAGGGCAATTCTGGAGAACATTTAGATTTGATTTTTCCTGTGCATTAGTTTATTTTGTTGGCTTCTAATAAGGCCACTTTGGGATCAGCTGCCTCTGGCTCCTTTTCTTCAGTTGGTCCATCAAGTGTGTGATGTTTTGGCTGAGAGGTCTGAGAGTGAATACTTAGGTTTCTTTCCATCCACTGATATTGCAGATCATGCAGAGAGGTTTACTGCTCAGTTTTGTGAAGGGACAGTTATGCCTTGTCTGCTACAGTTGTCAGAACTATGTGATTTAGCCTACCACTGCCAGGTAGAAGCATATTCAGACTCTTAAAGAATACACCTGCTCCAGGAAATTTGGGGTTCTCGAACAGAGTCTGTAGTCAACCTGAATACATCACAACAATCTAGGATTCATCTCACTCTATATACGGTGTTAAGGTATTTATTACCCATCCAATCTTTGTTGGAAGACTCTCAGGATCAACACATCCATTTGATGAGGAGTTAGGAACATTGTTAGCGTGCAGCTTGGTTCGATTGTCAGCTTCTGCATTCATACCAGCTGTTGTTAGTGTCTCAGTTTCCTTGACTCCTACAGGGGTCATAGTTCAACCCCTATTCAAGGGTCCTGACCATCAACATCTGCACCTTGGTCCATTGGTACTCAGAATAGATTCAGTCCATATCCAAGAGGTTCCTCCACTTGGTCGGAACATTGCCAACTGCAGCAGTAACCATAATATGCCTGTGGGGTCTTTTGGACATGTGGAAAACCTTAACCATGAATCCATGGGCATTACAAGTCCTTGAGTCAGGATTAATCATTCAGTTCACATCTTCACTACCATTATCCACCCAACCTGTATTGTTTCTGCCTCCCATAGATACTTGGATTTCAGAACTTCATTGTAGAGTTAACAGAGCTTTGTTGGTCTAGGGGGTTGTGGAGGGAGTCATGCCAGTTTTTCTGGGGTTTTGTTCCCATCTGGTTTTGTGCCCAAGAAGACACGATTGGCGTCCAGTCATCGATCTTTCTTGTCCATATCAATACCTATATCCTCCAAGGTTCACAATGGAGTCAGTCATTCCTTACTCTGTGTTTGCATTTTTTACTAGGATTGTGGATGTCCAAATTTGATGTCACCAACTTCTATATGCACGTTTCTATAGTGCCAGCATCCCGACACTATCTGCATTTTGTTCACAAGGGTCAGGCTGCAATTTAGGACTCTGCCCTTTGAACAGGCATCATCATCACATGTGTTCTCCTGAATCATATGAGTTTTTTTCTCCTCACTTCTTTTCCCTAGGCCTATGCATACACCATTCCATGGATGACTGGTTACTGCTGGCACCATCTCATCAATTGGTGAAATGTCATATCTGGATTCTACTTTCAGAAGCAACCAAGACAGGCTTCATTATCATTGCTGAGACAGCTATTCTCCCTCCAACATAACATATCATCAGTCTGGGTATCTTTTTCAACACTTATCACAGTCGGACTCAGCGAATTCTCATCCAGCTCCAAGCTATGGAACAAGCAGTCCAACTTATACTCACCTCTCCTCCCACTGCATGGATGGTTCTTTCTCTTTTGGGAATATGGGCATCACTTGAATCCCTCATTCCTTTGGGACAAGTGAACAAGAGATCCCTTCAGTGGTTTTTATACGACTAATGGATCATGAACAGCGATTCATTGGATTCTACAGTTTCCTTATTCAAGATCATTATCTTAAATCTCAAGGGGTGGTTAGATTGAAATATCATATCAACATTAAAAAAGTTAAAATGAAAGGAAGTGCTTTTTGTGTTTTTCAAAGTAGTGTTTCTCAACAAAATTTTTAAAATTTCACATTATAAAAAATTAAAATTAAAGTTTTTGATTTTTTAAAGCTAAAACTAGACATTATTTAGTTAGTTTTTACTAAGTTTTATGCAATTTGATTTAGTATATTCACTGTGAAAAGGAAAAATTTAAGGCGGTGTCAATGAAAAGGATACAGAGAGGGTTAATTAGAAATGTTTCAAAATATTTTCAAAGTATGAAATCTATAAGACTGGCATGGTTATAATATATCATTCGATTTGTCTTTTGACAAAATCACATATTGAAAGTGAATTAAAATGAGTAATATGTTTTTAAAGCAAAAATGAAAAATATCTTCCTTAAATGTTTTTTAGATTTGTTGTTATTGGAATAATTTTCCTGGTGTTCATCCCCATTTTGGGTTTAACAGGATTTCATTTTGTGCTAGTATCCCGTGGAAGGACTACTAATGAACAGGTAATGTTATTGTGTGTCTTCTACAGCAGCTAAGAGTTTCAAAATTTGGGAATAAGGTTTTCGTTTTTTAGCATTATTTTTTAACAATCTAAAAAGAGTAAAGAAACATGATTTGACAACTACCTTAAAATATACATGCTTGTTTAAAAATGTCAAAGTTTTGTCTGCTTGAGAGAAACTGATTTACAACTTGTTTTTTACACCAAAAGTCATAAAGCAAATTTGAATAGTTTTCCTGCTGTTAATATAGCTAGGCTAATATAGGGTAAAGCTGTAGTATTCGACTAATTATAGAATGATATATGTTATCCAATGTCTAAATTTGATTCTTTCTTCAGTTCATAAAATATTTCACCAGACTGTTGATAATACATAATAACCACTGGGTATAGAAAAAACATTGTGTGAATGTGTACGTGTGTAGATGAATTTTGCAAATCAAGCGAGTCAACCATATGAGCAAACAATAAAAAGGAGTATAAAACAAAGTAAATAAATAAAAAAGATGAACTCAAGCAAGCTCTTCAACAAATAAAAATAATGAAAAACTCACTTCTAGAGTATTTTTCAAACTTCTGACCATAACATTACAGTGTAGCTTAGGAAAAGTTAGGTATGCATGTCTGGCTAGATTTTGAAATAGGGAAATTGATGGCAAAAAAATCATATTAAGTAAATTGGTATTCAGACTTAAGTACTGATGGGTCATGGAAGTCGTTATTCAAATTTTCAATTAAATTTACACTGGAGGTATTGTAATTAGTTTGTAATATTCTTAATACAAGTAATGATTTATAAAATTCTACCATGTATCATAACTCAAATGAAGTTTGCTTGTTTTTTTTTCTTATTCCGGTGAAACTACAAATGAAATTGATCTCAACCAAGAATATTGTTAGCAAAATATTGTTACCTAGCTTGACCACTTGTGACAGGTCAAGTCATAGGTCACTGATACATTTCTGTCACTCTTTGAAATGAAATTACAAATAAAATTGATTTTCAGTTTCACCTGTTTGAATACAATAATAACAATTTAATTTTCCGTTTATTAGACTGGTGGTATTTAATGTCAAGTACTGCATGACAAGACTTGAGAAATATTTTTCTTATTACAGCATACTTTAAAAAAGTATTTTTTTGGCTTTAGTTTCACTAAGCACTGCAACTTTCTTAACATATTTGAAAAGAGTTTATCAGTAATAAATGGATGTATGTGTGTTTTTGTGTCAAACACAAAGTTTCACATATAAACATAATTTTAGCATTGTATTTTGTTTCAGGTAACAGGAAAATTCCGAGGAGGTTACAATCCTTTTTCCCGAGGTTGTTGCAGTAACATCTGTGTTGCACTGTTTGGTCCTCAATATCCTAAGTAGGTAAACAGTTAAAGAGTATGGAACTGTGTGGCTTTTTAAATGAAATATTACTATATGTGCCAGACTACTTTGTATGAATTTTCATTAACTACAAATTTTGTTCAAATTTCTTAACCATTTCATTTACTGATGGGTTTATGGAGAAAAAAAACATATAAGGGAACTGTATGACACTATGTTGTGTTATAAGTACATTAGTGTTCTTAATTCACAGTGGAGTCCTTTTGAAAATAAAATCTGTTTGTCTGTGCTTAAAGACCCAATCATGATATCTATCATTAACCTGGCAAGCAGTCCAAGTGGAGGTGTAGAAAATGTCAAGAAAGAGTACATGTTTTAAAATGAAGCGATCAACTTACTTCATAGTAAAGCTCAACGTTGGTTCACCAGAAACAGTACTGTCAGTTTGAATGGAGCTGAAGTGACATTAATTCAAACAATTACAAGAAGATGCTAACATTTAGTGATTTTAGCTTAAAGGATTCAAGTACTGGTTATCATTTATACAGCACATTTTATTGTACAAAAACTAATTTTGTTATAACCTTAGCTGGACCAGTGAGCACCTTTCAGGTGTCAAGTGTACACTTGCATATCCAATTTCAAAATATAATTACAAATAATTCTGTTTTTGAAAAACATTTTGCTCAAATATAATTTAGAATTGATATTATTTTCATTTTATAACATTTATTTAGTGTAAGTTGTAAAGAAAAATGAAAAAAAATGTTCACAACTCTGGGGAGTCTTGCCTGTAAACAACACACCTATAGATTTTTAATGATTTTTCTGCCCATTCTAAAGCATAGGCTTATGTTTGCTAAGAAACTAACATTCCTTGAGGTTGTAATTCCCAGGGTCTGTTTTTCATGTGATTTCCTTCTATAATTTTATTAATACAGCCTAAGTTCCCACAATTTAATGACCTCACAGCATATGATCTGAAAACCAGAAATGAAACTGTGCTTTGAAAATAGTTACAGGCAAAGTTTAAATACCATTGGATTGAGCAGATAATAAGTAATTTGTTACATCAATATAGAGTGAATAAAGTGGTGTGAGAAGTAGTGTATGGTTTCTTGGGAAAATAACAAGATTTAGCCCCTTCAGAGAAGAATAATGGAATCTACTAGGAAGTTTAGAAGACTTAGGGACAAACCACAGGTCTGGAAAATGTTTTATAGTTTACTTAGACATTATCTTAATTCCTGAAGGTGGTGTTGTGTTAAATTATATATGTTTGAAATCCAAAAGAATTTGCTTGTGTGACATCAGGTTAGAGAGTACAGTTGTTTAATATTATTGTTAAGTTTATTGTACTAAAAAAATGTACATAAATACAAGAACTTATAACTTATTGAAAATAAAGTATATCTGTCAGGTATAGATTAATTTCAACTTAAAATATTGTTAGCAAATATATTGTTTCCAAGTCTGACTTTGAAAGGTCAGGTTCTAGGTCACAGATAAATCTTTATAATTTCTGTGGAGTTTTTTATGATTTATAGAGAGAAGTTATGACTACTGCATCAGAAAAATAAAAATATCAAAAGAAATATGATGAATATCAATCAAGTTGATACCATTTGGGTATATAAAATGTAACTTTCTGATCAACACAAAAAATATATGAAAGTTCTAAATAAAAAGTATTTCTAAAGTTGTTTTATTCTATTTTTTGTATTTAAACAATGTCAGAGCATATTTTGGAAAGCTTACAATATAAAATAGTACAGAGAAACTATCAAACTATATTACTTTTTAATGCTGAAACTAAATACTATTTAGTAAATGTGTTCTAACTTTCTTACAATTTGATTAAGTATTTCCACTATGAGAACAACAAAAAATCAAGGAATATCAGTGACACCCCTCCAGTCCAAAAAGGATTAAATTTGATTTTATTCTGTTTGTAACTTATTTGGTAAACTTTATATTTTAGATATAGAAGTCCCAACAAGAAAGCAACTTACATATCTGCACCAGCTAGATCAGTATCAGGAGGAGTGTCAGAAAATCAAGTGAAAATTTATATTGGAAACAATACAGGTGTTCCACGCCATCCAAATACAAATGCCTATAACAAGGTGAGGGTTTTGATTTAATGATGATATCTTTATATGTAGTATGTAAATGTGGATCTGATATTATAATAGAGAGCTCAAAGTTTATTAAATTTTTAAATTTCATTGGAAAAAGAGTAAAACACAAAGTCATTGCCTTACAAAACCATTTTGTCCATTTGTACAAGTCCATTTTCACCAGAAACAAATACATACCCAGGATCTGTAAGAGTGCTTGTTCCTCATCTAAGAAATCATTTCACATCAGTAATATGCGAAAGTGTGCATTTCGTTCCCATATGCAAGGATAGAAGCACTTATCTCAGAATTATCATGCAACAAAGACATTGAACCACATGGAGAAAACCAACCTCAGTATCAAAAACTAATGTATCATCAGCACCAGCCACCCTATATCCTGTCAGTCAGCTTCAGAATAAAATAACTTATTACTTATGGAAAGGAAACTTTATTTATCAGATATAAATTGAACTCGATCAAGAATATTGTAAGCAAAAATATTGTTACCTAGCCTGAATAAAGTAATGGTGAAGCCACTGTGAAAGGTCAGGTTGAAAGTCACTAGTAAATATTTGTCAGTTTTTACCATTTGTTTAAAGATTTTTAGCCTGAAGTGGTGATTACTACAGCTGTCAAAATAGAATATTAAAAGAAATACATTAATCAATATATAAACCTAAAGTTGAAACTGACTGGATATATAAGAATGGAACTTTCTGATCGAGAATGAAAAAATTAAAATTCTATGGTACAAGGAAGAATTTTCAAACCAGTCTCACAACAAAATTGTACAACATAAAAGATAGTAAAATAATGTAATCAAATTCTCTGAATATGAATTTTTTAAAGCTGCAACAAAATTCTATTTATTACATTTATTTATTTTACTAAGTTTCATCCAGTTTCATGATGTATTTCCACTGTGAAAGGGAAAATAATCAAGGTATATCAATAACACAACTCTGGTCTAGAAAGGGTTAAGTTCCTGAATAGTGTGACACAAACAAATGTACATTTGTGTTAGGTATTTTAGTGAGGGATTACATGTAGTAGCAATCAAATATTTTCATTTTGCTTTTGTTGGTCATGCTACAAAATAAAGAAACAAAATAAAAACTTTCTTTAAGATCATAGAAAAGCATAAATACAGCACCTTTCTTGAAGTATGTATGGACGAACCAAATGTTCACTGAGCCTTGGACAGAAATTTTCAGGCTAGTTTAGTTGAGGATAATCATGGTAGTATGATTGATATAGAATCTTGTAGAGTACACATAATATATTTAGGATTAAAAAAAGGGTTAGATGCTGTAATTTGGTACTTGCAAACTATATAGAAAGCAGTGCATACACTGTTCAAAGAGGCACCAGCTTGAAGGAAGGATCATAGTGATATTATCAGATCTGTCATACTTGCCATATGCACAGGATATAAAATACATTGATAGTGCAATGTGCACTTGAAATCCTCCAACATATGAAATTCTATCTATAGACTGTACAAAATAAAATAAAATATACAGTTGCTAAAAACTAAGAAGTTTGACTTATTGAAGTCTGCACTGAGGAAACCATTGATGTCAGTACAGTTTTTCTCCTATGTTTCATTAGCATATTAATTCTTTCTAATGAGATGCCAAACATACAGCCACATTGAGCTCCTTTACAGCCAAAAGTTTAAAAATGCTACTGAGAAATTTCATGGGCAAAGTAGTTAGTAAAGTCTAATTTAATAGGTGCTGAAGAAGGAGCCAAATTATTTAAAGGTCTGTCATCACAGTGACTGATCACTAATTATTTTACCAGTCACCACAAATATTTATGGAGAAAAAAATTACATATGAAAAAAATCCTTTTACTTTAATGGCTTTGTTTTTATGTATGTATGTAATAAATGTAATGTTTACTATAGTTCTAAGTTTACTGTGTGTGTTGTTATGAAACTGGGCAGGTTTTTAGTATATGTTACAAGTCTGTTGTACACAAAAATTCAGAATTTTAATTAAGTACTTTTACTAAAGATTTGTCTGTGAATTTCCAAAGCCTTTACCAAGTCAGTCTGAGTGAAAAGTAATTTTCTTGTTAAGAACGAATATACTTCTTTTCATCATTCAATTTTTATATTTCATTTGTATAACCTCCAAAACCTCGTAAATGAATATCAAAAGCTATTTATATCTCTTTCCTTGTAATCAAAATGGATCAGTCACAGTAGGATCCCATTAGTTGTATCCTCATAGAGTTAATGTAAACATCACGTGGTTGCTTAGTGTAATGTTTCAAAGAGCACTTGAACTTGTGAAATTTTAGACATTTAATTTTATTGAAGTTTTGTTAGGGAAAGCTGAGAGGTTTCTAATTTTTGATTTTAGTTACTTTGTTAGATATATGTATAAGAACAAGTAAAATATATACATGGAAACTAGGATTTGTACTACTTACTGCATACGTGAGCTCTTTCTGCACTCAAGTGAAAATTTTAGACATTTCTTTCATAAGTTTCAATGAATCTCACAAGTTTGGATGTCCAAATATAATTCATGTAGTTTTCAACTATGCATATTAGAACTCAAAATATATCATTCAATAGAATGTCCCAAAACTACTATAATTTATCCAACTTTCTAAGAAAGCATAAATAGGTTAAAAAAATTCCTTTAGCATTTGAAGCACCAAAATTATGATCACCAAATACCAACCAGTTCCCCTGACAAACTAAACAATGACTTGTAAGCTTTATGTATAGGAGAACTTCCTCTTTCTGTTGGTTATAAACATGTTTATCTACTGTGTAAAGTTGATCAGCAAACAATCTCGCAATTCAGAGAGAAAAAGGAGGGTCTTGGACAAACTTATTGATAGCAAATCAAGAAAATTTATGGTTCATATTTTAGATTCTTTCTTGTAATTTTATATGGTTTGTGTTTATAATTGGTTGGAAACTATAGCAGTCTATTTCTGATGTTAAAAACTAATATAAAACTAGAAAAAATAGAGCCAAGCTGCATAACAAAGACAAGTGATGATTGGGAATTTTTTATATCTTTCTTTTTGAAATTAAGTTTCGTTAAAGTAGATACCCCTCATAGAGGTTTTGCAGTAAGGAAGGCTGGCTGGCAACTTTCACCTCTGCCAGCCAACTAGCTTTTAAAACAATCTGACAAGTTAATGGAAATGCTGTAACTTTTATTCCATATAAGTTGCCATCCACAGAATTTTTAAGAATTGCTTCATGGAAATGCTTCCGATATGGTACTTCCCTTCTCTCACAGGATTAAGTTTTCCCATTTTGCCCTCTATATACAAACATTTTATATAATGTATGCCGCAAACCTTTTGCACCACCTTATTGGAATCAAAAATTCCAACATGTCTCATTCAAATCATCATGCATCATCTCTCTACCAATAGTAGACCACTACTATCATGTGATGCATGTGACTCTGTCTATGTGCCACTACCAAACCATCACTTCTCATTTGGCAGTACTTGAGTTCAGACGTCTTTATTTTTGCTTATTACTTCTCTGAGTGATTTAACTTAATTTAATTTTCTTTATTTCAAGAAATTTTTTTTCACTTTATTCTGAAAAGCGTTTGACTTACCCATGTTTTGCCACAAATTTTTTGCTTGTTTGTTTGCTATCAAGCATGAACTCAGTTAACATTACCACTTGGGATACATTTCCTTCATTTGGTGGCATACTCCAGGCCACAGGTGTGGGCGACCTGTTGGGGGATTTATCGGCCTTTATACCCAGGGAGATTAAGCATTATATGGGACAATCTTTGTATCCTGCTGTTGCCCCTCTTCCTCCTGAGCCTGGCCAGGCTGTTGAGGATTTTGATCGTTTGTCCCAATTTCCCCCCCCCCCCCCAAACGTTCGCCATGCATACCCAAGCCCTACTGGAGGATTCTGTTCGTCTCTCATCGGCTTATTCAGATTTTATTTCTCAGGTGTGTGATGTTTTGTCTACTGCTCCTATTTCTTCCCAATTATATCATTCTGCCTCACAACCTTATTTAGTTTTCTCCTGTCCCCTAATATTCGGATTCACACTGAGTGTTTCGCCTCACAGTTAGGTGATGGCATTAGTATGCCTTGTTCCTCGTGGGATTCAGATCAATCTGCTCTTGCTTATCATAGAGTGGGCTGTTCATATCTGGAAAAACAATTGTTGGGTTCAGTTTTGCCCATTTGGGGGGCAGAATCCGAATCTCCCATTCATCTTACCCATGCTCAGGATTCCCGCCTTCGTCTTACGCTGACAACTCTTTTTGCAGTACCTCTCCTCGACCCATCTCCTGTCTGAGGCTCTTCACAGGAACTGTGAGGGTTTTTACTAGAAATGTCCTCTCACTTCCACATCAGACTGCCTATACACTTCGGCTTTGGCACTGCAAACATGGTTTATTTGTTGTTGGAACCTTTTGGATCATGATACCATATTGTCATGGACCTCTCTCCTGATCTATGGGACTTTCATATGGCCTGGTTTTTGAGATGTTTCGTGGTTGAAGTGATCCTGGAGTCAAAGGTGGCTTTGGTCCAACAACAATCCAACCTTTCTTATCTGGTGGCCCAATTTTCTCAATCGGAGCCAATCGTGGCACCAATTCCTGTTTCTTGACCCTTCCCAGCCCTTGCCTCCTCCTCCTTCCCACGGTGCCACTGTTTGTTATTTTTCAGGATGATACATGGTATGCCAACAATAATTCCAGTGACTACCTGGTGGGAATTTGTCTGGCAACCTTCGTTAAACAGTGGAACCCTTTCATCTCTGATTTTTGGGTTCACTGAATTTTGTCGGGGGAATTCATCATACTCTTTCTCTCTTGTTCAGTGTGCCTGTTTCCTTTCCTCCTCCTTGGGATCCCTTGTCATGCCAGCATCTGTTTGAGGCACTACATTGATCCTGCTTCATGCAGTTTGCAGGAGTTTTACTCCCACCTGCTGGTCATCAACATGTTCCATCGCAATTGATATGTTCACACCCCCACACTTCACCATGGAATCCTACCTTACTCTTCAGTGGCCTTTTCTCCAAGTCTTTGGATGACTAAGATGGATATCTCCAATGCTTATCTGCATATTCCCATATCAGAGTGTTCTGGTATTTATCTTCAGTTTGTCCATTATGTGGTGGTGTATCAGTTTTGTGCCCTACTTTTTGGGCTGGCTTTGGCACCATACATTTTCTGTTGGGTGGTGTGAACCTTTGTTCTATGTCTTCATACCCTGTGGTTGTACTTTCACTTTTACATGGACGCCTGGCTTCTTGCTCATTCCGATTGGGAGTTGGCCTGTCATACTTGTTAGTTCCTTCTTGAAGCTGCTCGGTTGGGCTGGTTTATCAAATTGGAGAACTCCTTCCTTCATCATACCCAGTATCCTGTTCATTTGGGGGTTTTCTTTAACACCCATCTCAGTCTGGCCCAACCTTCTCCTCTCCAACTCTGTTATATGGAATTGGCTGTTTGGAACACCCTGTCTGCTTCTTCACTTTCAGCTCGCGAGTTTCTATCGCTTAAGGGGATGTGGTCTTCTATGACTCCACTCATACCCCTCGGCCAGGTTCATATGTGATCCCTTCAATGGGTCCTCCATGACCAATGGAACCTTGCCTGAGATCACTTAGATATACCTATAACCCTTCCTTCCTACATTATGGACGATTTCCAGTGGTTGTTGGACAAGGCTCATACATTGGCTGGTGTCCCACTTCCTCCCCTTTGGCCAGATTTACATTTGTTCACAGATGCATCCATTCAGGGATGGGGTGTATGTCTGGTCATGATCCGTTCTGAGAATTCAACAGTGGTGGCTCATATCAATCACCAAGGTGGCACCCAATTGAGATCCCTGTGTTTTCTAATGTTGGATCTTCTCTTTTGGGCCCACAATCATCACTTTCACATACTGGGTGTTTTCAACCTTGTGGCAGATCGTATTTCTCAACCCAACCGGATTTACCCAACGGAGTGGTCCCTTCATATCCTTGTTTTTTTTTTGTGGCTTTGTGATCAGTGGGGTATTCCTCATATCAATGCATTTGCCATCACCTTGAATCACCTTTGTTTAGACCCTGGTTCCTCATCCTTGGGCTTTGGCCAGGATTGGTCAAACAAGTTCTTTTATGTTTACCCTCCTATCTAATTAGTTCATTGTGTAGTCTCCCTCATCCATACCACTCTGTGCAAAGTCCTTCTGATTGCTTCTTACTGGACCATTTAACTGTGGTTTCTTCAATTACTCCAGCTACAGTTGTTCTCTGAACTTCTTCATCAACCCCAGTTGCTGGTTATACATCCTGAACTTCATGTCCTCCATCTTCACACCAGGTGAGGAGATCCAATTTCTCATTTTGGGTGGCATCTCATTTAGCTCATTCTGTTCATCCTTCATCTATGGCTGTGTATCAGTGGAAATGGAATGTTTTTTTGTGCCTTGCCATTTTGATCCATCAGCCGACTAGGTGTCCGGTACTTTCGAATTGGGACATTAATGGGGTACTCCATTTCCTTACTTTACCTCCATTTGAGCCCATTGCCTCATATTCTTTACTTAACCTATCCCTTAAGGCGTATTTCCTTCTCTAGGCCTGCGGGCAGCTTCAGTCAGATCTGTTCACTGTCAACGTCACTCGTGCACTGTACCACCAAACCTATCTTCTCCTTTACTTGGATTGTTCCTTCCTTCTCAAGACCTTGGTGGCTTGCACGGGTAACTCCTCCTTTTTGCTCATTTCATTTCCCTCTATTTCTGACCTCTATCATCATCCGGATGATAGACTTTTATGCCTGGTGCATGCCCTTCTTTGTTACATTGCCTGCACGGCTACCTTCAGTGGTTCCCATTCCCACTTCCTTATCTCATGGCAACCCTCTTCCTCTCGGGATCTTTCTCCCTTTACCCTTACCATTTGGGTTTGTTGTTTAATCCAGGTGACTTATTCTCCTTGTCCCTTTTCAAATGTGCTTTGTTCCATGTTACCTCCCATCAAATCCAACACGTCATCTTTTCCCTTACTTCTCATCTTCATCAACCTTTGGTGGAGATTCTGCAGTTGGGCATGTGGACCACCCCTCAGATGTTCATCTCCCATTACTTACACCACATTGCAGTTTCTGCTTCATAGGGATCTCCTCTACCACCTGTGGCTGTACTTCATACTTTGGTGTGGCTATGAAACTAGTTAAGTCTTTATTAATTCTTTCTTTTCTTTCAGGGTCCCTTGCTTCGAATTTCATCACTTGGATCCTGCATTGTGGCGAGTGGTGCGTGACCAGGTATTCTTTACATACACAAATAAATCCGCACTGTATGCCATGTTGATTCATGCACTCTTTCCATGGCTCCACACACTCACCTTCGAGATGGGGTGTTTCACAAGATCAGTGAATAGTCAATAACCTTGTGATATTTGCTTTATAAATAGGCATGTCCCCTGCCATGCCTCAATTGAATAAATCGGTATGGTCTGCTTTCCAAAATAGTCTTTTTGTGTCTCAGGTGTAGCCGTTCCTCCGGACTTTCCAAGGCAACACTCCCTTTTTTCTTCCAGTGGAGTATGGGAGTCTTTACGATTTGCCGTTTCAAGCCACTGGGGTGGTTGATCCTGGAGGCGTCCTGTTGAATGGGTTCCACATAGATGGCTATAACCATTCAGTTCAGAGCAGGGTGGTGGTCTTCTGCTGGTGTAAAAGGCATAAAATCTCCAAATTGAGTGACACATACCATGGAGTGAGATATCTAAATACAGTTCACCCCTTGATTGGGTGCACTCATCCTACCCTCACACAGATGTTGGTACCATGAGGGCTGGTTTTGGATATCAAGTGAAGCAATCAACTTTAGCCCTCAGACAGGTTTGGAGTTGTCCATTTTCCTCCCTTGTTCTCTCTTGTGACAAGGATGTTATTGACTTTTGGATGTTTCAAACCAGTCTCACAGTTGTGGGAGTTGATGGCATGCAATGGATTTTCCTTGGATACCTGTGTTGTGCTGGTTTGAGATAAAGCCAGTATGATCCTCATCCTACACTTGAACGGATGTCGATACCCAGCTAGGAGTTTTTAGATGTAGTTGACTTACCAAATATGGTCTGCTACACCCTAGCCATTCTACACCATGAGACACATCCTCCATTACCTACTTTACTTCTGTTGGATTGAGTTTCTATATTTATCTGGTTGGAATCACTTTCCTGACTTATCCTCTCCCACTCAGATGTGCTCACTTCCTTTTCACCATGTTTCTACCTAGCTATTCAGTGAGGAGGTACCTAGTTCAGTTTCTCTCATCTACAGAAGTATCCTTTGAATGCTTTCTGGAGGTACATCTGCTCTTCCCTTGCACCAGTCCCCCCCCCCCCTTTTTCAGTGTGGGATTCTAGCCAATCTTGTGAGCGGAGGGAAGTACCATATCGGAAGTTATAATTCACTTCCCACCTTCCTCCCCACAATCTTCCAGTGCTTACATCATCTGCCAAACTTTGAAGTGATGGTTCGGTAGTGGCACATAGAGGAAGTCACACGATAGTAGTGCTCTCCTATTGGTGGAAAGATGATGCATGATGATTTGCATGAGAGACATGTTGTAATCTTTGATTCCAATAGGGGTGCAGAAGGCTTGTAGCGTGCGTTATAAAAAAGTTTGCATATAGAGAGCAGCACAAAATGGGAAAAGCTAATCTTGTGAGAGGAGGGAAGTACCTATCGGAAATACATTTTCAGTATAGGAAAATT